TGCCTTGATGATAGCTTTGCACACTCTTGGCATTCTCTCAACCAGATTCACGAGGTAGTGACCTGGAATGCATTCAATTAACAGGTGTGTGTTGTTAAAAGTTAATTTGTGGAATTTCTTTATTTCTTAATGCCATTGAGCCAATCAGTTGTGTTGTGACAAAGTAGTGGCGTATACAGAAGATAGCCCTATTTGGTAAAAGACCAAGTCCATATTATGGCAAGAACAGCTCAAATAAGCAAAGAGAAACGACAGTCCATCATTAATTTAAGACATGAAGGTCAGTCAATATGGAAAGTTTCAAGAACATTGAAAGTTTCTTCAAGTGCAGTTGCAAAAACCATCAAGCGCTATGATGAAACTGGCTCTCATGAGGACCGCCACAGGAAAGGAAGACCCAGAGTTACCTCTGCTGCAGAGGATAAGTTCATTAGTTATCAACCTCAGAAATTGCAGCCTAAATAAAGTTCAAGTAACAGACACATCTCAACATCAACTGTGCAGAGGAGACTGTGTGAATGAGGCCTTCATGGTCGAATTGCTGCAAAGAAACCACTACTAAAGGACACAAATAATAAGAAGAGACTTGCTTGGGCCAAGAAACACAAGCAATGAACATTAGACTGGTGGAAATTTGTCCTTGGTCTGGAGTCCAAATTTGAGATTTTTGGTTCCAACCGCAATGTCTTTGTGAGACGCGGTGTGGGTGAACGGATGATCTCTGCATGTGTATTTCCCACAGTAAAGCATGGAGGAGGAGGTGTTATGGTGCATTGCTGGTGACACTGTCTGTGATTTCAAGGCACACTTAACAAGCATGCCTACCACAGCATTCTGCAGCAATACCCCATCCCATCTGGTTTGGGCTTAGTGGGACTATCATTTGTTTTTCAATGGGACAATGACCCAACACACCTCCAGGCTGTGTAAGGGCTATTTTACCAAGAAGGAGAGTGATGCATCAGAATCGAACCCACAACCCTGGCGTTGCAAATGCCATGCTGTACCAACTGAGCTACACGGGACTTGGCTTCCACAATCCCCCGACCTCAACCAAACTGAGATGGTTTGGGATGAGTCGGACCGCAGAGTGAAGAAAAAGCAGCCAAAAAGTGCTCAGCATATGTGGGAACTCCTTAAAGACTGTTGGAATATCATTCCATGTGAAGCTGGTTGAGAGAATGCCAAGAGTGTGCAAAGCTATCATCAAGGCAAAGGGTGGCTATTTGAAGAATCTCAAATTTAAAATATATTTTGATTTGTTTAACACTTTTTTGGTTACTACATTATTCCATATGTGTTATTTAATAGTTTTGATGTCTTCACTATTATTCTACAATTTAGAAAATAGTAAACATGAAGAAAAACCCTTGAATGAGTAGGTGTTCTCAAACTTTTGACCGGTAGTGTAATGCTTTAATATTTAATCATGTCTGCCCTCCGAATTAATATTCATTATATAAATAGGCCCTTTTAATATTGTCTGGCTTGCCATTCCAAATACAATTTAATATTTTTTGCTCATATAATTTAAAAACAGTTTGCAAGGTGTAGGCAAGACCATAAGCAAATAGGTAAACAGGGATATAAGTTAATCAGAGTCATTTTCCCACAAATAAAAAGTTACACTTAAATCGGAACTGGTTCTCCAGCAACTTAGTAAGAATGTCTCACCCCATGTTCAAGAATGGCCTTTTTCCCTTTATTCAGATTACAACCTCTCACTTTCGGTTATCTGAAAATGAAATAATCTCCAAAATAAACTATTTTTAAAACAAGCCATAAAAAGTTGGTTGCAATTTCAGTGTAATCCACCAGAAAAGACAGAACAAATAATACAACAAATATTGTGGTTAAACTCAAATAAACAAATTGATGAAAAAACAATATTTTTCGATAACATAAAAAAATAATTGTGTAATCTTTGTAAATTATATCATAAATAGGACTAGTGGAGTTATGTCACACATGCAGCTAACTAAAATATATGGAAATGTCTGCTTTACCCAAAATGACAACCAACTAATTGCATCATTACCACACAAATGGAAGAGGCAAGTGGAGGGGTGATGATCAGTCTATAATTTTAATGGTAGGTTTATTTGAACAGTGAGAGACAGAATAACAACAAAAAAATCCAGAAAAACGCATGTAAAAAATGTTATAAATTGATTTGCATTTTAATGAGGGAAATAATTATTTGACCCCTCTGCAAAACATTACTTCGTACTTGCTGGCAAAACCCTTGTTGGCAATCACAGAGGTCAGACGTTTCTTGTAGTTGGCCACCAGGTTTGCACACATCTCAGGAGGGATTTTTTTCCACTCCTCTTTGCAGATCTTCTCCAAGTCATTAAGGTTTCGAGGCTGACATTTGGCAACTCGACCCTTCAGCTCCCTCCACATATTTTCTATGGGATTAAGGTCTGGAGACTGGCTAGGCCACTCCAGGACCTTAATGTACTTCTTCTTGAGCCACTCTTTTGTTGCCTTGGCCGTGTGTTTTGGGTCATTGTCATGCTGGAATACCCATCCACGACCCATTTTCAATGCCCTGGCTGAGGGAAGGAGGTTCTCACCCATGGCCCCGTCCATCGTCCCTTTGATGCGGTGAAGTCCTGTCCCCTTAGCAGAAAAACACCCCCAAAGCATAATGTTTCCACCTCCATGTTTGACGGTGGGGATGGTGTTCTTGGGGTCATAGGCAGCATTCCTCCTCCTCCAAACACGGCGAGTTGAGTTGATGCCAAATAGCTCAATTTTGGTCTCATCTGACCACAACACTTTCAACCCAGTTCTCCTCTGAATCATTCAGATGTTCATTGGCAAACTTCAGACGGGCCTGTATATGTGCTTTCTTGAGCAGGGGGACCTTGCAGGTGCTGCAGGATTTTAGTCCTTCACGGCATAGTGTGTTATCAATTGTTTTCTCGGTGAGTATGGTCCTAACTGCCTTGAGATCATTGACAAGATCCTCCCGTGTAGTTCTGGACTGATTCCTCACTGTTCTCATGATCATTGCAACTCCACGAGGTGAGATCTTGCACTGAGCCCCAGGCAGAGGAAGATTGACCGTTCTTTTGTGTTTCTTCCATTCGCGAATAATCGCAGCAACTGTTGTCACCTTCTCACCAAGCATTTTTGACATGCGTTTTTCTGGATTTTTTGTTGTTGTTATTCTGTATCTCACTGTTCAAATAAACCTACCATTAAAATTATAGTCTGATAATTTCTTTGTCAGTGGGCAAACGTACAAAATCAGCAGGGGATCAAATACTTTTTTCCCTCACTGTATGTATGTGTATGTATATTTATGTATATGTGGTTATGTATGTATTTGTAGGTATATATATTTACAAAATATATATATATTTGCAAAAAATAGATATATATATTTACAAAAAATATATATGGGGAATTGGAAATGATACAGATAATTACATTGATGGAAGCTACAATCTATCGGCAATATTAAAGCTGATCTACCCCTTAAAAAATATTTTTTGTAATATTACTTTAGTGCCTTATTGCAATTAGGACGCATGTTCTGGAATATTTGTATTCTATACAGGCTTCCTTCTTTTCACTATGTCATTTATGTTAGTATTGTAGAATAACTACAATGTTGTTGATCCATCCTCAGTTTTGTCCTATCACAGCCATTAAACTCTGTAACCGTTTTGAAGTCACCATTGGCCTCATGGTAAAAAATCCCTGAGTGGTTTCTTTCTTCTCCAGCAACTGAGTTAGGAACGACACCTGTATCTTTGTTTTCTGCTTTGAGACAAGCATGGAGACTCGTTTTGATAATCAATCTCAGATGTTGGTATTCACTGGATCTCCATTTAGACATTTGGTTACAATTACTGGGAAAAAGTTAGCTAAGTTTAGGTGTGCTCATCACCATATTTAGTCTAGTTTGCTCATCTAGCACTGATCAGAACATTTTGATAGCATGTTATGATAACAAGTGGATATTTTTGTATGTTCACTCGCGTAGTAGGCATAGCCCACTCCCAACCAAAAGCTGATGACTTGTCTGATAGCGTAGTCAATCAATGTGGTTTTGTTTAACTGAATCTCTGTCTGTATATTTGGTTAATTGATCTCTGGCTGGGCAAATAAGTGGAAGTGATAGCTCATCTACAGTATTTGCTGACTCATCTATCATTGATCAGAAACACAACATCAAGTGTAGGCCTAGTCTATTATTTGCTATTGACTCGCACATATGCAATTTATAAAGCCTGCAGAGGTTGTGAAATATGAACCCGAGACTCACATGCTTTTGAAAATATAGATTGCTATTTTTTTCTATGGGTATCAAAAGGGTTGTTCAGCTGTCCCCATAGGATAACTATTTTTGGATCCAGGTAGAACTTGTTTGGGTCCAATGTAGAACCCTCTGTCTAAAGGGTTCTCGAGTGGCGCAGCAGTCTAAGGCACTGCATCTCAGTGCTAGAGGCTTCACTACAGACCCTGGTTTGATTCCAGGCTGTATCACAATCCGGCAATGATTGGGAGTCCCATAGGGTGGCGCACAATTGTCCCAGCATCGTCTGGGTTTGGCCGGGGTAGGCCGTCATTGTAAATAAGAATTTGTTCTTAACGGACTTGCCTAGTTTAAAATAAATAAAGGGTTTTACATGGAACCAAAAAGGGTTCTTCAAAAGTTTATCCTATGGGGACAGCCGAAGAACCCTTTAAGGTAGCACCTTGTTTTCTAAGAGTGTACGCCTGCTCTCTAATAAGTGTAGAATTTATGCCCAGGCATAGCTCATAGAAGGGCTTATGCCCAGGTGGCGCAACAGGTCAAATGTTTTGGTCCTGCTTAGAGCGCATTTTACGACCAACTGGTGCAATCGGCCCCTGTGTCCTGACTGTGACCTTTGTATAAATCATACAAAGTCAGGCCTGCACAGAGATTGTGCATTGATGTCAATCAATCAAACCATCCATCCATCCATCAATCAATTCCCACTCTGAAAAAAATGTCTCACCCCTCCTGGGTTGCCATCAGAGGCAGTGACAATGAGACGGTACTGGTCAGTGGTCTCCCTGTCCAGGGGCTTTCCCAGAAGCAGCAGGCCTATCCTGTAGAGGGAGAGACAACAACACACCACACAGCAGCATTAGTACACAGCAAAATCCATACTGTACTACATCCATCAAGGACTTAATCTCCATTTAGACAGAATCTGGGGATTCTAATCTGATAACTCACTTTCCTGTCACTGTCCTCGTTGGTTCCCTACCCAGTGATTCTGCAATGACTGGATAAGCTGCATTTTAGTATAAGTCCACAAGTCCCTCTAGTGAGCTAAACTTTCCATCATATTGCAGGGAATTATCTAATACTTTCACATCAGCGAGGGGCAGTGAACATGAGTAAAGGCATGGGTGTGGGTTATAAATTGAAAACCGTCTCTTTACAGTCTAGACTCTATACTGAGAAACACACACAAGTCCCTGTAATACCTAGATATGACTTATCAAGGGAATACCAAAGGTACAGAATACAATAGCGTTCAAGACCAACACCAGGGACGGCCTGTTCAATAGGGCGATATGGGCGACGCACTGCCAAACGGGAAAAGGAAGGGATTTTTTTTCTAATCAATTATATCACGGCAACAGTAGTTATCAGTGTTCACGTCTGATCTGCCAGCCACTAAATGTCAAATCAGGCTAAAGTCGTGCTTCAAATGGCCCCGCCCGTTTTTGGGGCGATTTCAGTCAAGTTGAAAATCGCCCAGAAGTCTCTCATAGCCTGTCATGTAAAATCTATTTTTTTTTCAAATTTCAAAGCTTTCAATACATTCTCTATGGGTGTCTGTGGGCTTGCACTTACGCGCTTTCGTCATACGTGACGTAACCATGAACGTAACTAAGACAATAGCGGCTAGCAGCGTCTCTGTTGCGACCTGCAGTGTGGCGTTATTTTATGTTTTTAATTTGTAGACTTAGTTTACAAACATTCTGCCAACCATGGATTTCCAGTGGTTGGTTTTGGACTGATCTTGTTGATCGTGTACATACCCGCTACGAACGGACTAAATAATGAAAACGCTGCTGGCAGCGGAATCCCAATACAGCTGGGAGACTTGGCTGGATGACAGAGTCCCGGACAGAGAAGTGGAGCCGGCCGGCTTCACCCTGGTCAGAGCGGACCGCGATCCTGGTAAGAGAGCGACTCTGTACCCCGACATTGAACTGCTTTCTGTGTCATTGCGACCTTACTATCTGCCCCGTGAGTTCCCCCAATTGTTTGTTACCGTTGTGTACTGTTGATAATCACAAGTTTACTGGAGAACTGAGACCAAGTAGAGACTTTGGACAGGGTGGATATGGTATAATAAAGGCAGTTTATTCAGAGGTAAAGATATCTGGAATCGCGTGCACGGACTCGTTCGTCAAACTCTTAGGGAGAAGAGAGCCCCGAAAACATTGTGTGCAGACATTTTATACAATAAATGATGTAGGTTGAATCTAGTAGTTCTGATCTTCTGATTGGTCCTGATGAGTTGGGCGAGGTCCCCTCCACTGTTGCATTGGCTCTGAGTCGGGTTCTCTGTCTTCAAATGTTCAGCCTAAAGAGAGGGGATTTTTGTGTGTGTGTGTGTGTGTGTGTGTTTAACAGTGATGATGATGTGTGTGTGTGTGTGTGTTATCAGTGATGATGTGTGTGTGTGTGTGTGTGTGTGTGTGTCCTCAGAGCAAGAACTCGTGAGTTGGAAGAACTGAGAGACCTATGGCGTGGGTGTTGTCCATGGCCACCTGCTGACAAGGCTGACAAGATAGGACTCTTTTGTCCATTGTTATAGGATAGGAACAGCATTGATTGAAAACAAACGCCCAACACAAAATGGGTCATGCACAAGATTTTAGTCAGACCAAGCTATAACATTATATATTTACTACGACAGTACATTCAACCAAAAGCTAATATAACAAAGGCATCAGAGATTATTTATAATCTGTCACAGAAACTGGAATCCATCTCCCTAGATCAGTCAATAAATGCTTCTGGTATTGACTTATATGCTGCCCCTGTCTTCATGTTGTTGCTGGACATATCTTTTTTAAAATGTGTATAGGTCACCTAAATCATCAGAAAAATTGCCCCTCCTGATAATTTTTTCAGGAGCCGCCACTGACCAACACCTAACCTGTTTTGGCTTTACAGAAAGGAACACAAAAGATAAATCCTCTTTAAAATTATAAGAGTCCTTGGTGACTCGTTTCTTTCATAATGAGGCAGAATCCTTAATTTACAGAGATCTGTTGCAGTTTACTGTTTACAGGCAGCGCTGTGAAGTGGAGCGAGACAGAGAGACAGAGAGCGATAGCAGTGAACTGAACTGACGCCATATCTCGCACACTCATCAAGCATACATTACCAGTTAATTATCCTTTGATTCATCACACGCTCTCAGCACCTGGTTAGGGGAATACAGTAGGGTACTTTTACATTAAAGCTGCTTAGGGCTGCTAATGTTATGTACAACGATTCTAGCTCTTCAAAAGACACATTAGGATATGTGCTTGTTTTAGGAATATGTCAATCATATCTGCTCGAGGAGAGATTACTGTACCAACAACAGATGTCTCAGAGTTGTGGAGATAGTGTCATCATCTTTTCTTATTGCTGCCACCACAGTGCCTCCATACAAACAACCGTTCCAGCATGGAGACAGAATAAGATTAAACAAACAAAAACTAAAGAGGTGGAAACAATGCCTAAAAAGCCCTCCTGGCACAGCTGGTAGAGCAGCAAGGAAGCTTTAATCAATTCGAGAAAAATATGGCTGACATTGTGCCTTGTTTACAGTCTCCCCACATCTCCTTGCCGCGGTGCCATCGCACAGGATGCCTCTCTCCGTATTTTCTTGTTTATTTAAGGGACAGTAAACAGCACTCACCGAGTAAACATTTCATGGTGTTTCTCCTCTCCTCCCCCCTCCATCCCTCTCTCACTCTACCCCCTCTGCCTCCTCTCCCATCCCTTGCTCTGACAGGTTGTATTGGCAGAGGGTGGCTGATGACGATTTTCATAATCTTTCTGGTTGTTTGAAGCCTATCCCCCTTCTCCACCTCCTCATCCCCTCCTTCTTTTCTTTGTCATGCAGTGGGCCATGTAACAACTCAGTGGGGCTGAGGGCAGAGGGCGGTCTGTGCTTTCCAGGCCATAGGGGAGGATGATGTAGAGGACTTCCATTAGCTCATAAAGCTATGTTTTCTAAACATGGATGGTATATATACAGTTCACCTGGGTGGTTTTGTTCTGTTCTCAATATATTTAATCCTGCCATCACTCTTTATTCACTCAGATGTTGTCTTAACATATTTTTGTAACCACAAGTTTCACTGTAAAGTTTTAAAGCTGATCTGCATCCATTTTACGTAAAGCAGCTATTCAAAAGTCATAATTCAAGTCAAATCCAAAAAGGTATCTACAGAACACTGTCAGCCTCGAGGAGCGATGTGAATGTCCTGAATATTGCCCATGTCCAAACGTAAGAAGTTAAATTAATTGTACAGGCCATTAAAATGTTCCTTCTAGACAAAAGACTCTTGTTAGGATAATTCGGCCTCATTTTGTGAATAGTTTCTTTAAAAAATGTGCACATTTTCAGTACTCGTACTAACCATTTTCATATTTCTCATTATCATCCATCCATCCATCCATCTTACGTTTTAGAGAGGTTGAAGACTTGCTGAATATCCCCACTCAAAATCTGGTACGTGATTGGGTCATTCTCTCTGTCTGTGGCCTATGAAAAACAACAAGAACAAACAATAAAAATCTATCAATAGTTTACTTACACTGCCTGACATCTGATTTGAACACATCAATGCTTAAAATCTATTATATCAAATCTGATCATCCATACTGGCTGGTTTAGTAATTGTTGTTTGCTAAACTCAACACCCAAACACTTCCATGACCTTTTCTTGAGTAATCAAACTGCCCTCTCCTGACCTCCATCGACCCCTGTTGTGTGTCTCTCACCTGTAGGTTGAGCAGAATGGCTCCTATCCTCATGGCCTCGCTGACCTCTAGGTCGTAGGTGAAAAGGGGGAAGCGTGGGGGGCTCTGGTTGTTGGGGGGCAGCACCTCGATGTACACCGTGGTGATAGAACTCCTGTAGGGTTGGAGGACAATGTGAGAGGGGAAGGAAAGGTAATATTTACAATATACAATATACAAACGATATACAAACAATACAACAACATTCTTTGCACAGTTGCATTCACATCCAGTAATAGTACAGTGGTGGTTCGTCAGGGTGTTGGAGGTTGTCATGAGTTTCCTGGCTTCCCACAAGGACATCATGCTTAAAGAGGTTTGAAGAAGATAGGTGGATAAGTCAATTGGCAGCCTGCATGTGAAGAGTTTCGTTGCAAACGCTATATCCACCAATTTATCACATTTGTATTTTTTTCACACCAATGAACTTGAAACTCTCGACCTGCTCCACTACAGCCCCATAGATGTGAATGGGGCCTGTTCGGCCCTCCTTTTCCTGTAGTCCACGATCAGCTCCTTTGTCTTGCTCACGTTGAGGGAGAGGTTGTTGTCCTGGCACCACACTACCAGGTCTCTGACCTCCTCCCTATAGCCTGTCTCATTGTTGTCGGTGATCAGGCCTACCACTGTTGTGTTGTCAGCAAACTTAATGATGGTGTTGGAGTTGAGCTTGGCCATGCAGTCGTGGGTAAACAGCCGTTGTGGTAGGATTCAATCTTAGTCCTGTATTGACTCTTTGCCTGTTTGATGGTCCATCTGAGGGCATAGCGAGATTTCTTATAAGCGTCCGGATTAGTGTCCCGCTCCTTGAAAGTGGCAGCTGTACCCTTTAGCTCGGTGCAGCTATTGCCTTTAATCCATGGCTTCTGGTTGGGATATGTATTGTATGTACGTTCACTGTGGGGACGATGTCGTCGATGCACTTATTGATGAAGCCAGAGACTGAGGTGGTATAATCCTCAATGCCATTGGATGAATCCAGGAACATATTCCAGTCTGTGCTAGCAAAATAGTCCTGTAGCGTAGCATCCACGTCATCTGACCACTTCCATATTGAGCGAGTCACTGGTACTTCCTGCTTTAGTTTTTGCTTGTAAGCAGGAATCAGGAAGAATTATTGTCAGATTTTCCAAATGGAGGGCGGGGGAGAACTTTGTATGTGTCTCTGTGTGTGGAGTAAAGGTGGTCTAGAGTTTTTTTCCTCTGGTTGCACTTGACATGCTGGTAGAAATGAGGTGAAATGGATTTAAGTTTGCCTGCATTAAAGTCCCCGGCCACTAGGAGCGCCGCTTCTGGATGAGCATGTTCTTGTTTGCTTATGGCCTTCTACAGTTCATTGAGTGTGGTCTTAGTGCCAGCATCGGTTTGTGGTGGTAAATAGACGGCTACGAAAAATATAGATGAAAAATATCTTGGTAGATAGTGTGGTCTACAGCTTATCATGAGGTACTCTACCTCAGGCGAGCAATACCTCGAGACTTTCTTAATATTAGACATCGCGCACCAGCTGTTATTGACAAATAGACATACACCACCACCCCTCGTCTTACCGTACGTAGCTGTTCTGTCCTGCCGATGCACGGAAAACCCAGTCAACTGTATATTATCTGTGTCGTCGTTCAGCCACGACTCGTGAAACATAAGATATTACAGTTTTTTATGTCCCGTTCGTAGGATAGTCTCGAACGGAGCTCATGCAGTTTATTCTCCTGTGATTGCACGTTGGCCAATAGAACAGATGGTAGAGGCGGTTTACCCACTCGCTGGCAAATTCTCACAAGTCACCCGGACCTGTGCCCCCTGTATCTCCATCTTTTCTTCATGCGAATGACGGGGATTTGGGCCTGGTCCTGGGGGAAACAGTATATCCTTCGCGTCAGACTCATTAAAGAAAAATTCTTCATCCAGTTCGAGGTGAGTAATCGCTGTTCTGATATCCTGAAGCGCATTTCAGTCATAAGAGATGGTAGCAGCAACATTATGTACAAAATAAGTTACAGACAAAGCGAAAAAACACACAAAATAGCACAATTGGTTAGGAGCCCATAAAACAGCAACCATCCCCTCCGGCGCCATTATCACAAAAAATAAATAATAATAATAATAATAATTTGAATTTAATAGACCTACAAGTAACTGTACAGTATGAATAAACAATCAAATGGAACAATGACTGAATGAGATGGCTAAATAAATGTATGAAAGCCAGACTGAATTACGGAATACTTGAGTACATGATTAAAGGTGCAATATGCAGAAATCACTCAGCCATTTCCTGGTTTCTAAAATTCTAATAGTTCGCCTAATTTCTGTTTCTGTGACAAAACAAGCAATGCATAGTGTAGAGAATCATTGTACAATCTAAACCACTGTGAAATATATTTTAAATAACCAAAAATATTGTATTTTCAGGAGTTTGAAGCATAGAAATAGTGCACATAGAACATATCTACCGCATCTTAGACTTGCTTTCAATGAGAATGACAGATCTATAACTCAGATTTCTATGTGCATTTGGTTGGATCCCACAAAATGTTACATATTGCAACTTTAACTGAACAAGTATGAAAAATGAAAAACTGAGTCAGAAACTTAGGTCTGAATCCTTACTTGGAAAACAAGATTTTACCTCAAACATCACCTAACTCATGCATGGATATTAATGAGGATATATCCAAGGGATACAGTCCTTTTAATAAACACATTAATAAATGAAAGGTGTGATTGAGCAAATGAAAGGCTAAAAGAACAAATAGAAGAAAAGATGAATGGATTAAATTACTGTACCTTCTCTGGATCTCTGGTGCGTTGTCGGCGGCCTTCACTGTGAGGTCATAATGGCCCACGCTAAGGGCTATCCCAGGCGCGATGGTGATTTGTCCAGTGCGGTTATTAATGATGAAATCACCTTGTGCTCCGGCAAGGATCTCATAGGTCACCAGACCGTTTAATCCCTCATCAGCATCCAATGCTGTTAGCTGAGAGAGAGAGAGAGAGAGTCTTTGAGAGAGGAAGAATTCAGTGTTTCAGCGCATCTAGGCAGGGTGTGGAGGGCCCTAAAATCAACTTTCAAAGCCGTAATTTTTTTTATTTGACTAGGCAAGTCATTTAAGAACAAATTCTTATTTACAATGATGGCCTAACCTGTCCAAACCCTCACAACGCTGGGCCAATTGTGCGCCGCCCTATGGGACTCCAGATCACGGACGGTTGTGATACAGCCTGGGATCGAACCCGGGTCTGTAGTAACGCCTCTAGCACTGCAATGCAGTGCCTTAGACAGCTGCGCCACTCAATTAACCTCCAATTTACTGAACTAAGTTGAAAATGTTTGTAGGCAGGGGGGCAATAGTGATTTGTGGGAGGTTCCCACCTGTCTTTGTAATGGTGGAGGAAACACTGAAATCTATTTCAGTAAAATGTTTATACCTTTTAAACACATGACCCGTGTTTTGTGTAAAGGGCAGGCATATGATTTGAGTGACATTTACCAGACGGTGCTCTTGTAAGCTGTGTATAATGTTTACAGAACTACTGACCTTTTGCAACTGCTACAGTAAACAACTTATCCTCCCTCCTAAAATATTGATGCAAAATGAGTGACCTTTATGAATCTATGATTTTTAGGTTTTTAGACATTTTTGCAAATATATTTAAAATAAAAAACATGAGTACCTTATTTACATAAGTACTCAGACCCTTTGCTTGGAGACACGAAATTGAGCTCTGGTACATCCTATTTCCATTAATCATCCTTGAGATGTTTCTACAACTTGATTGGAGTCCACCTGTGGTAAATTAAATTGATTGGACATGATTTGGAAAGACACACCAGTCTACATAAGGTCCCACAGTTGACACAGTGCATGTCAGAGCAAAAAACAAGCCATGAGGTCGAAGGAATTGACCGTATAGCTCCGAGACAGGATTTTCTCCCGATTGCTCAGTTTGGCAGGGCAGCCAGCTCTAGGAAGAGTCTTGGTGGTTCCAAACTTCTCCCATTTAAGAAAGATGGAGGCCACTGTGTTCTTGGAATCCTTCAATGCTGCAGCAATTTTTTGGTACCCTTTCAGATCTGTATTTTTTGGTACCCTTCCAGATCTGTACCTCCACACAATCCTGTCTCGGAGCTCTACGGACAATTCCTTCAACCTCACGGATTGGTTTTAGCTCTGACATGCACTGTCAACTCTGGGACCTTATATAAACAGGTGTGTGCCTTATCAAATCATGTCAAATTAATTGAATTTACCACAGGAGGACTCCAATCAAGTTGTAGAAACATCTCAAGGATGATCAATGGAAACAGGATGCACCTGAGCTTAATTTCGAGTCTCATAGCAAAGGGTCTAAGTACTTACAGTTGAAGTCGGAAGTTTACATATACCTTAGCCAAATACATTTAAACTCAGTTTTTCACAATTCCTGACATTTAATCCTAGTAAAAATTCCCTGTTTTAGGTCAGTTAGGATCACCACTTTATTTTAAGAATGTGAAATGTCAGAATAATAGTAGAGAGAATGATTTATTTATTTCATCACATTCCCAGTGGGTCAGAAGTTTACATACACTCAATTAGTATTTGGTAGCATTGCCTTTAAATTGTTTAACTTGGGTCAAACGTTTCGGGTAGCCTTCCACAAGCTTCCCACAATAAGTTGGGTGAATTTTGGCCCATTCCTCCTGACAGAGCTGATGTTGCTGAGTCAGGTTTGTAGGCCTCCTTGCTCACACACGCTTTTTCAGTTCTGCCCACACATTTTCTATAGCATTGAGGTCAGGGCTTTGTGATTGCCACTCCATTACCTTGACTTTGTTGTCCTTAAGCCATTTTGCCACAACTTTGGAAATATGCTTGGGGTCATTGTCCATTTGGATGACCCATTTGTAACCAAGCTTCAACTTCCTGACTGATGTCTTGAGATGTTGCTTCAATATATCCACATAATTTTCCTTCCTCATGATGCCATCTATTTTGTGAAGTGCACCAGTCCATCCTGCAGCAAAGCACCCCCACAGCATGATGCTGCCACCGCCGTGCTTCACGGTTGGGATGGTGTTCTTCGGCTTGCAGCCACCCCATTTTTCCTCCAAACAAAATGATGGTCATTATGGCCAAACAGTTCTGTTTTTGTTTCATCAGACCAGAGGACATTTCTCCAAAAAGTATGATCTTTGTCCCCATGTGCAGTTGCAAACCATAGTCTGGCTTTTTTATGGCGGTTTTGGAGCAGTGGCTTCTTCCTTGCTGAGAGGCCTTTCAGGTTATGTCGATATAGGACTCGTTTTACTGTGGATATACAGTGAGGGAAACAAGTATTTGATCCCTTGCTGATTTTGATTGTTTGCCCACTGACAATGAAATGATCAGTCTATAATTTTAATGGTAGGTTTATTTGAAGAGTGAGAGACAGAATAACAACAAAAATCCAGAAAAACGCATGTCAAAAATGTTACAAATTGATTTGCATTTTAATGAGGGAAATACGTATTTATTTGTCAGTGGGCAAACGTACAGAATCAGCAGGGGATCAAATACTTTTTTCCCTCACTGTAGATACTTTTGTACCTGTTTCCTCTAGCATCTTCACAAGGTCCTTTGCTGTTGTTCTGGGATTGATTTGCACTTTTCGCACCAAAGTATGTTCATCTCTAGGAGACAGAATGCATCTCCTTCCTGAGCGGTATGACGGCTGTGTGGTCCCATGGTGTTTATACTTGTGTACTATTGTTTGTACAGATGAACATGGTACCTTCAGGCATTTTGGAAATTGCTCCCAATGATGAACCAGACTTGTGGAGGTCTACAATGTTTTTTCTGAGGTCTTGGCTGATTTCTTTTGATTTTCCGATGATGTCAAACAAAGAGGCACTGAGTTTGAAGGTAGGCCTTGAAATACATCCACAGGTACACCTCCAATTGACTCAAATGATGCCAATTAGCATTATGACATCCTTTTCTGGAATTTCACAAACTGTTTAAAGGCACAGTCAACTTACTGTATGTAAACTTCTGACCCACTGGAATTGTGATACAGTGAATTAAAAGTGAAATAAAATGTCTGTAAACAATTGTGGAAAAATTACTTGTGTTATGCACAAAGTAGATGTCCTAACCGACTTGCCAAAACTATAGTTTGTTAACAAAGAAATTTGTGGAGTTGTTGAAAAACAAGTTTTAATGACTCCAACCTAAGTGTATGTAAACTTCTGACTTCAACTGTATGTAAATACGTTTTTTTTTGTTTGTTTGTTTTTTGTAAATGTGCAAAAATTCTAAAAACCTGCTGTCGCTTAGTCATTACTGTGTGTAGATTGATGAGATGTTTATTTTTGTTTATCCATTTTAGAATTAGGCTGTAACGTAACAAAATGTTGAAAAAGTGAATGGGTCTGAATACTTTCCGAATCCACTCTATGTTAAATCTGTACACACCAAAGACATTGATCTTAGAACCATGCTGTCTTATCTCTAAAATTAAACAGCCACCCTTCCCTTCCAGCTAATTAATTTGGACACTCCACCGTTTACAACTCACAGCACCCTTAGCCAGGCTTTATTTTAACGTTAGCTCCATATTTTCAAGGCTTTTCTATGTTAATACATGCTAGGCTAGCCTACTGAACCCTTTTTTCATATAGAGCTGTCATGTCTAAGATACGAAATATCAGCATCGAATAAACCTTCATCCTTAGAGGCCCGGAGAATCATATAAATGGCTTATAAAAACAGGTTAAGCGGTCTTACCGGCCGCCACATGACCGCTGGCCTCATTTCAGCTGGGCTGGGCGGCTGATTTTAAACAGATTAAACTTGACCTTTTATGTGTCTGACATTTTTTTTGTGACTTTGTGCTACGAGACTGTAGATGGGAAATCATGCTCTGCCTACCAAATGAGAGACAAACGCACACTGCTGCTGAACGAACTCCATAAAACCAGATATGTCAACGAGGGGACTTCCTGCTGTAAACAATTTGACTCTAAACACAAGCGCATGCACACACACGCATGTGCGCACACACACACATAAACAAACACCAAACCCAACCCCAAACCTTCAAACCAATCAAACTAGAATCTGAGTCAAAGTAAATAAACTTGGCAATCCATTCAGACATTTTGTAGAGATGACGACAAACCAGAATCTCCTTGGAGATATTTCAGTCAGGAATTTACAGTGACCATTGTTGTTATAGGATAGGAGATTGATTTGGAGTCCTAACTGTTGACCCATGGCAGTGTATTACGTCGAGTCATGTCAATATTGAGCTAATAATATTTTAGTCCTGACCACTGTTGTAAGAAACAAGATTGTTCTTGAGTCATCAGCTCTGATCCAAGAAAGAGTGGATCGTTCTGGGGCTCGGACTGTTTGCAGAAACTGTGCGCGAGAGAGAGAGAGAGAGAGAGGGGGGAGAGATAGTGAGAGATACACAGAGAGGAAGAGAGAGAGGGAAGGGAGAGGGAGAGACACAAAAAGACAGAGAGAGAAAGTGAGAGATAAATAAGGGAGAGGGAGAGACAGAAAGAGAGAAAGAGGAGCGAAAGACAGAGAGAAAGGGGGGCAGGAAGATAGACAGATGTGCTAATTACCTGCAGTACTGTTTCTCCTGGCTGCATGTCAGTGAACACCTCGACAGTGTCGGAGACTTCACCGAAGGTGGGCGTGTTGTCATTGGCGTCAATCACCAGGATGTTGACGGTCACCCACGTGCTCTCCTGTATCCCATCTGATGCCATCATCTATACACAAGATGACAGAGAGAGCAGTACAAAAAATATTTACTCTGATAGCACCAGTTAAACTCAATGAAGTGCAACTTAAGTACTTCAAACAAAACAATACTATTTAAACCCACGTCTGATAATGACATCAGATGTACAGGTAACTGCCAAAATAAGTGGGAGGTTAAGTGCTGAATCGTCGGTGGCATCTCTCTTTACTGCAGTGGGCTAAATCAGGGCCACACAGTGTAATTATTGGTAGTCTTAAACAAATCTACTTTGAAACAAAAGTATACACCTCACACACATGGTTATGTGCTCAAAAAAAGAAGACACCTGTACCATATCAGATATAGAGTTGACATTTTGAGTTTGAATCCTAATATTACACTTTATATACATCACAGAAGACTGAAAAATAACAAAGCTGTTTGACATAGAAACACCAGATTTTCATTGGCTTTTTTGAAATAACCTTTATTAATTATGAAATTTTGAAAAATATTAACATTATTCCACCCATGACGCATAAGGGGGCGCTTTTGGTCTTTGACAGCAAGAAAGGGCTACACAGGAGGAAGATTCCTCTGAGGGCCGTTGATTCTTGGGGAGGACGTTGAAGTAAAACACATGGAGTGAAACACATTAATGTGGTGTAGCGGTCCCCCTGCTTCATTCAGGTACAGATACTGACGTTTCCTCAGGAGGGACGCAAAACTACATCTAATTTTTGACACTTAGAAAGGCACACCCTCACACTCATGAACACACAAACAGACACAAACACACACACAAATGCACACACACACATACATAGACACGTACACATACATACAGAGTAAGCGAGAACAACCAAGAACAAAGGACAAACAAACAAAATAGAACCCTTGAAGCAATAATAAAGAACATTAAAGGTGTGATTTAAATTTAAATGGACCACTTATTATCTTATCCTTGCCTGCTCATGATGATATAACACAATTGCTTGATGCTCAAGAATTGAGAAGTCCGGATCTTTCGAATGACAATATGGCAACGATCAAAGCCTCTCAACAGAGACATAATAAACATACTACTGATGAAACCCTTCAAATGTAATATCTCCATATCATTAGTACAGTGCATTATCACCTCAACAAGTCCATGTACAAACAGACACGCGCACACACACACACACACAGACCATTATAACCACCATCACGGGTGTACACTGGGACCTCTGACTGCGAGATTCAAAAGAGCTAACTCCATCTCCAAACGGTTCCAAAGGTTACTTGGTAATATGTGTGGATGAGGTTGGAACGAGGCCTACCATGAAGGTGTAGGTCATCTGCTTCTCTCTGTCCACGGGTTTGAGCAGTCTGAGGTAGCGGTTGATCCCGGTCGGGGTTATGGCAAAGATGGTGCTGAAGTCGTCCAGAGTCACTGTCACCAGGGGGTCTTTGCTCTACAAAAAGTAAAGCCATCGGAGAGAAGAGTGTTACCATGGTGACATGACCTTACTCAAGTCTGCAGCCATGTCACTGAGGAAAAACTTTTTAAAGACAGAACAAGTCAAAACATGTTGGAGTGGTAAAATCCTGCTGACAAAGACAACATAATGCTGAGAACACAGTACTGAGAAAAGGGGATGGCTTTGAGGAAATTCTAAGAAATCGCATGATTCTATACCCCCGCACTACAATTGTAGGTGTTTCATTGTGGCTCTGGCCACAAGCTACAGTAACCCTAAGCATAACCCCTAACCCTAATTCTAACCATAACCCTATTCTATCACTAACCCTAAACCTAACCCCTAAGCCGAAAATAGCATTTGTTTTTTTCTGGGGACCGGCAAAATGTTCCCACTTGTCCAAAATGTCCTTGTTTTACTATCCTTGTGAGGACTTCTGCGCCACACAAGGATAGTAAAACCAAAGAAACACAAACATACACACACACACACACACATACTGAATGTACTAAATGTATTGTGGGATCTGTGTATTTACCCACTAATAACATTTTTTTTTTTTTTTACTTGACTAGAAAAACAAGCACACATGGCACAAACGCATTAGACATTTGTCTATGAAGAAAGGGATCATTGGAGGGAAACAAAGTCACACACCTGAAAGAACTGAAAGAGGTTTGAACACACACCATGCAGTAGAGTAAAACCCAATGGCACACTTTTAGTCATCACAGCACCAAAATACACTATTTTCCCAACAGGTGTTTGACCAGGTACAACAAATAGACAAAGCAGCAACATTGATAATACAGTAGTGGTGCATGGAGAAGTGGGTATACTCAAATGTTGGCAACAAAATTCCAAACGGCCCGCCATGCGAAGGAATGATGCCTTCTGTGTGAAATTCTATGAGAAAAAGTTACATGTACTCTGAATGACCAACAGTAAAAGGATAAATCCCATATTCGTCTTTCACAGTCAGGCCGACCCAAGCTGTACTGTGCAAGTAGGCCTACAATTTAAAAAGATAAATGAGGTTGTCAACTGAGTCAGAAATTCACAGGTTTGGATGTTCTATGTCTACAACAATGCCTAAACCACATCAGGAGACCACTTTGAGGTCTGGAAAAAATCTAAGAAATGTATATTTTGTTTGTGTAGTTACCCTTTAAATCAAATGTGCAGTCACCTAGCACTGTTGTTTTGTTACCAGTGTTTCTGTAGTGCACATGACATTTTTTTTGCCACTGGATTGATGCAAATAATCATGATATCATTCTGCCAGGAAGGCTACTTTGTAGCTAGTTACATTAAATTGAGGTTAAATTGAGGCTTTTCGGAAAGCCTTTCCATCTACCAGAAGATGGTTAGGCCTATCAGTATCTATATTTTCCTTTTCCTTAATTGTTTGAAACCTGGATGTTTTACTTATGAAGCATGCCAAGCCTAAATCTTTCCATAGAAATGTTGAGGGAAATATTTTATAAACACTTCCTCATATGCGCGCTACTGACTGTTCTATGGTTTTAAAATAAACTTTATTTCATTGTCTAGCAGCCAAAGGCATTATCCTAGTCATATTAGCAACCCATGATAGTTGTTGCATCTTTAGATCTCTGTCTTTGTAAATTTCCAACGGATATTTAAATCTCTGTCCATGAAACCGGTCGCATGTGCGGTGCGCATTTTAGTGTGTTCCCGCAAATTGCTTACTGCCACGTGCACATTGCTGCACTTAGAATGTGAAGAAATAATAGTTTATCTACATTTTAAGCTAAACATTCTGATCTGTTCTATCAGCCAAATTAATTGATATGACGTACACAGTACCTTCAGAAAGTATTCACACCCTTTGACTTTTTCCACATTTTGTTGTGCTACAGCCTGAATTTAAAATGGATTACATTTAGATTGTGTGTGATTGGCATACACACAACACCCCATAATGTCAAAGTGAAATTATGTTTTTCAGAATGTTAAAAAAAAATAAAAAAAAAAAAGCTGAAATGTCTTAAGTCTAAGAATTCAACACCTTTGTTATGGCAAGCCTAAATAATTTCACTAGAGAAAATATGCTTATCATGTCACATAATAAGGAGCACGGACTCACTCTGTGTGCAATAACAGTTTTTAACATTATTTTTGAATGACGACCTCGTTTCTATTTATTTATTTCATTTTACCCTTATTTTACCAGGTACAGTGGCTTGCGAAAGTATTCACCCCCCTTGGCATTTTTCCTATTTTGTTGCCTTACAACCTGGAATTAAAATGGATTTTTTTGGGGTTTGTATCATCTCATTTACACAACATGCCTACCACTTTGAAGATGCAAAATATTTTTTATTGTGAAACAAATAAGAAATAAGACAAAAAAACAGAAAACTTGAGCGTGCATAACTATTCACCTCCCCAAAGTAAATACTTTGTAGAGCCACCTTTTGCAGCAATTACAGCTGCAAGTCTCTTGGGGTATGTCTCTATAAGCTTGGCAAATCTAGCCACTGGGATTTTTGCTCCAGCTCCTTCAAGTTGGATTTGTTCCACTGGTGTACAGCAATCTTTAAGTCATACCACATATTCTCAATTGGATTGAGGTGTGGGCTTTGACTAGGCCATTCCAAGACATTTAAATGTTTCCCCTTAAGCCACTCAAGTGTTGTTTTAGCAGTATGCTTAGTGTCATTGTCCTGCTGGAAGGTGAACCTCTGTCCCAGTCTCAAATCTCTTGAAGACTGAAACAGGTTTCCCTCAAGAATTTCCCTGTATTTAGCGCCATCCATCATTCCTTCAATTCTGACCAGTTTCCCAGTCCCTGCAGATGAAAAACATCCCCACATGATGATGCTGCCTCCACCGTGCTTCACCGTGGGGATTGTGTTCTCGGGGGTGATGAGAGGTGTTGAGTTTGCGCCAGACATAGCGTTTCCCTTGATGGCCTAAAGCTCAATTTTAGTCTCATCTGACCAGAGTACCTTCTTCCATATGTTTGGGGAGTCTCCCACATGCCTTTTGGCGAACACCAAACGTGTTTGCTTATTTTTTTCTGTAAGCAATGGCTATTTTTCTGGCCACTCATCCATAAAGCCCAGCTCTGTGGAGTGTATGGCTTACAGTGGTCCTATGGACAGATACTCCAATCTCCAAGTTTCAGATATATTTTTAGAACCCAACCCTGATCCACAAATTTGTCCCTGATCTGTTTGGAGCGCTCCTTGGTCTTCATGGGGCTGCTTGCTAAGTGGTGTTTCAGACTCTGGGGCCTTTCAGAACAGGGGGCTGTCTCAGGGCAATCGCTGGGGCTGTCGCTTTCGGGGCTGTCGCTGGGCAATACGGACTTTCAGCTCCCTCCAAAGATTTTCTATTGGGTTCAGGTCTGGAGACTGGCTAGATCACTCCAGGACCTTGAAATGCTTCTTACGGAGCCACTCCTTAGTTGCCCTGGCTGTGTGTTTGCGGGTCGTTGTCATGCTGGAAGACCCAGCCACGACCCATCTTCAATGCTCTTACTGAGGGAAGGAGGTTGTTGGCCAAGATCTTGCGATACATGGCCCCACCCCTCCTCCCCTCAATACGGTGCAGTCGTCCTGTCCCCTTTGCAGAAAAGCATCCCCAAAGAATTATGTTTCCACCTCCATGCTTCACGTCACTTCACGGTTGGGATGGTGTTCTTGAGGTTGTACTCATCCTTCTTCTTCCTCCAAACACGGCGAGTGGAGTTTAGACCAAAAAGCTCTATTATTGTCTCATCAGACCACATTACCTTCTCCCATTCCTCCTCTGGATCATCCAGATGGTCATTGGCAAACTTCAGACGGGCCTGGACATGCGCTGGCTTGAGCAGGGGGACCTTGCGTGCGCTGCAGGATTTTAATCCATGACTGCGTAGTGTGTTACTAATGGTTTTCTTTGAGACTGTGGTCCCAGCTCTCTTCAGGTCATTGATCAGGTCCTGCCGTGTAGTTCTAGGCTGATCCCTCACCTTCCTTATGATCATTGATGCCCCACGAGGTGAGATCTTGCATGGAGCCCCAGACCGAGGGTGATTGACCGTCATCTTGAACTTCTTCAATTTTCTAATAATTGCGCCAACAGTTGTTGCCTTCTCACCAAGCTGCTTGCCTATTGTCCTGTAGCCCATCCCAGCCTTGTGCAGGTCTACAATTTTATCGCTGATGTCCTTACACAGCTCTATGGTCTTGGCCATTGTGGAGAGGTTGGAGTCTGTTTGATTGAGTGTGTGGACAGGTGTCTTTTATACAGGTAACGAGTTCAAACAGGTGCAGTTAATACAGGTAATGAGTGGAGAACAGGAGGGCTTCTTAAAGAAAAACTAACAGGTCTGTGAGAGCCGGAATTCTTACTGGTTGGTAGGTGATCAAATACTTATGTCATGCAATAAAATGCAAATTAATTACTTAAAAATCATACAATGTGATTTTCTGCATTTTTGTTTTAGATTCCGTCTCTCACAGTTGAAGTGCACCTATTACAGACCTCTACATGCTTTGTAAGTAGGAAAACCTGCAAAATCGGCAGTGTATCAAATACTTGTTCTCCCCACTGTATACTGAGATCATGTGACACTTAGATTGCACACATGTGGACTTTATTTAACTAATTATGTGATTTCTGAAGGTAATTGGTTGCACCAGATCTTATTTAGGGGCTTCATAGCAAAGGGGGTGAATACATATGCACGCACCACTTTTCCGTTATTTTTTTCATTTCACTTTTTGTGTATGTCCATTACATGAAATCCAAATTAAAATCTATTTAAATTACAGGTTGTAATGCAACAAAATAGGAAAAATGCCAAGGGGGATTAATACTTTTGCAAGGCACTGTATGTTGACTAAGAAAACATTCTCATTTACAGCAACGACCTGGGGAAAAGTTACAGGGGAGAGGAGGGGGGATGAATGAGCCAATTGGAAGCTGGGGATGATTAGCTGCCATGATGGTATGAGGGCCAGATTGGGAATTTAGCCAACACCCCTACTCTTATGATAAGTGCCATAGGATCATTAATGACCACAGAGATTCAGGGCACACGTTTAACGTCCAATCGAAGAAACTGCACCTTTACACAGGGCAATGTCCCCAATGACTACCCTGGGGCATTGGGATGTTTTTTTGTTTTTTTTGTCAGAGGAAAGAGTGCCTCCTACTGGACCTCCAACACCACTTCCAGCAGCATATGTTCTCCCATCCAGGGACCAACCATGACCAACACTGCTTAGCTTCAAAGGCAAGCCAACAGTGGGATGCAGGGTGGTGTGCTGCAGGATGTACCCCACACATCAAATTAAATGAAATAAAATGTTATTTGTCACATGCCCCGAAAACAACAGGTGTAGACCTTACAGTGAAATGCTTACTTACAAGCCCTTAACCAACGATGCAGTTTTAAGAAAGAATACCAAAAAAAATCACACCCCAAAATATAATATTAGATAATACGAAATAAAAGTAACAAATAACTACAGAGCAGCAGTAAAAATAACAATAGCGAGGCTACCGGTGGGTACCGGTACCGAGTCTCCTTAGGGGGAATACGTTTTGTCGTGCCCTCTTCACGACTGTCTTGGTGTGCTTGGACCATGTTAGTTTGTTGGTGATGTGGACACCAAGGAACTTGAAGCTCTCAACCTGCTCCACTACAGCCCCGTCGATGAGAATGGGGGCGTACTCAGTCCTCTTATTTTTCCTGTAGTCCACAATCATCTCCGTTGCCTTGATCACGTTGAGGGAGAGGTTGTTGTCCTGGCACCACACGGCCAGGTCTCTGACCTCCTCCCTATAGGTTGTCTCGTCGTTGTCAGTGATCAGGCCTACCACTGTTGTGTCATCGGCAAATTTAATGATGGTGTTGGAGTCGTGCCTGGCCAAGCAGTCATGAGTGAATAGGGAGTACAGGAGGGGACTGAGCACGCACCCCTAAAGGGCGCCCGCATTGAGGATCAGCGTGGCGGATGTGTTGTTACCTACCCTTACCACCTGGGGGCGGCCTGTCAAGAAGTCCAGGATCCAGTTGCAGACGAAGGTGTTTAGTCCCAGGGTCTTTAGCTTAGTGATGAGCTTTGAGGGCAATATGGTGTTGAACGCTGAGCTGTAGTCAATTAATAGCATTCTCACATCAGTGTTCCTTTTGTCCAGGTTTGAAAGGGCAATGTGGAGCGCAATAGAGGTTGCATCATCGGTGGATAGTTGGGGTGGTATGTAAATTGGAGTGGGTCTAGGGTTTCTGGGATAATGGTGTTGATGTGAGCCATGAAAAGCACTTCATGGCTACAGACGTGAGTGCTACAGGTCGGTAGTCATTTAGGCAGGTTACCTTAGTGTTCTTGGGCACAGGGACTATGGTGTTCTGCTTGAAACATGTTGGTATTATAGACTCAGACAGGTAGAGGTTGAAAATGTCAGTGCAGACACTTGCCAGTTGGTCAGCGCATGCTCAGAGTACACGTCCTGGTAATCCGTCTGGCCCTGCGGCCTTGTGAATGTTGACCTGTGTAAAGGTCTTACTCACATCGGCTATGGAGAGCGTGATCACACAGTCGTCCGGAACAGCTGATGCTCTCAAGCATGTTTCAGTGTTACTTGCCTCGATGCGAGCTTAGAAGTAATTTAGCTCGTCTGGTAGGCTCGTGTCACTGGCCAGCTCGCAGCTGTGCTTTCCTTTGTAGTCTGTAATAGTCTGCAAGCCCTGCCACATCCGACAAGTGTCGGAGCCGGTGTAGTATGATTCGATCTTAGTCCTGTATTGACGCTTTGCCTGTTTGATGGTTCGGCAGAAGGCATAGCAGGATTTCTGCTATGCTTCCGGGTTAGAGTCCAGCTCCTTGAAAGCGGCAGCTCTACCCTTTAGCTCAGTGTGGATGTTGCCTGTAATCCATGGCTTCTGGTTGGGGTATGTATGTACATTCACTTTGGGGACAACATCATTGATGCACTTATTGATGAAGCCAGTGACTGATGTAGTTTACTGCTCAATGCCATCGGAAGAATCCCGGAACATATTACAGTCTGTGCTAGCAAAACAGTCCTGTAGCTTAGCATCTGCTTCATCTGACCACTTTTTTATTGACAGAGTCACTGGTTCTTCCTGCTTTAGTTTTTGCTTGTAAGCAGGAATCAGGAGGATAGAATTATGGTCAGATTTGCCAAATGGAGGGCGAGGGAGAGCTTTGTATGCGTGTCTGTGTGTGGAGTAATCTGTAAGGTCTCTCAGTGGAGCAGTGAATTTCAAAAACAGATTCAACCACAAAGACATTGGAGGTTTTCCAATGCCTTGCAAAGAAGGGCACCTTCTTTGGATATAAATACAAAAAAACAGACATTGAATATCCCTTTGAGCGTGGGGAAGTTATTAATTACACTTTGGATTGTGTACCAATACACCCAGTCACTACAAAGATACAAGTGTCCTTCCTAACTCCGTTGCCGGAGAGGAACGAAACCGCTGAGGGATTTCACCATGAGGCCAATGGTGACTTTAAAACAGTTAAAGAGTTTAATGGCTGTGATAGGAGAAATCTGAGGATGGATCAACAATATTGTAGTTACAATAATAACCTAATTGACAGAGTGAAAAGAAGGAAGCCCGTACAGATTTCCAAAACATGCATCCTGTTTGCAACAAGGCACTAAAGTAATACTGCAAAACATTTGGCAAAGCAATTAACTTTTTGTCCTGAATACGAAGTGTTATGTTAGGGGAAAATCCAATCCAACACATTACTGAATACCACTTTCCATATTTTCAACCATAGTGGTACCTTCATCATTGTCACGCCCTGACTCTGAGGACTTGTATTTGTTGAGTCAGGGTGTGTATTTTCTGGGTTTGTGTTTGCTATGTCGATGTTCTGTGTTTTAAAATCTAGAATGGGTAGTTCTATGTTGGCCTGTGTGGTTCCCAATCAGAGGCAGCTGTTGCTCGTTGTCTCTGATTGGGGACCATACTTAGGCAGCCTGTTGGCACCAGTTAGTTGTGGGATCTTGTTCCGTGTAAGGTATGTTGTTTGTATGCTACCTTGGACTTCACGTTTCGTTTGTTGTTTTGTCGTGTGTTTAGTCGTTAATAAACATGAATGCATATCACGCTGCGCCTTGATCCTTCTCGTCCGTAAACGATCGTGACAATCATGTTATGGATATACTTGTAATCTGGGGAGTTTTTCAGAATAAAAAAGAAACGGAATGGAGCTAAGTATAGGCAAAACCCTAGAGGAAAACATGGTTCAGTCTGCTTTCCAGCAGACACTGGGAGATTAATTCACCATTCAGCAGGACAATAACCTAAAACACAAGGCCAAATCTACACTGGAGTTGCTTACCAAGAATGTTCCTGAGTGGCCGAGATACAGTTATGACTAAAATCTACTTGAAATCTATACCAAGACCTGAAAAATGGTTGTCTAGCAATGATCAACTATCAATTTGACAGAGAATTTTGACAATGGGCAAATGTTGCACAATCCAGGTGTGGAAAGCTCTCAGAGACTTACCCAGAAAGACTCATAGCTGTAATCACTGCCAAATGTGATTTTACAATGTATTGACTCAGGGGTGTGAATACTTATGTAAATGAGACATTTCTGTATTTAATTGTACATTATTTGGCAAATATTTTCCAAAACATGTTTTCACTTTGTCATTATGAGGTATTGTGTGTGGATTGGTGAGAAAACATATATTTAATCCATTTTGAATTCAGGCTGTAACACAACAAAATGTGGAATAAGTCGTGGTATAGGTACAGTGAAGGCACTTTACCTCCACTACACTACTTTGATACTCATCTGTAGGGATTAAGAAGTGAGTATACGCAATGCCAGCTGAAAAAAAGGTGGGCATACACCACTCTGTACGTGTGTGCGCTGTGTGTATATGTACTTGTGTGTGAATTCATAGTGTATTTGTAGGATCATAAGCTACATGTTTGTGCTCGTGAGAGTGTGCGTGTGTGTTTTTTTGTGTGTGTGTTTGGACATGTTTAACTATACATGTGGGGACCAGAAGTCCCCACAACAACAGTAAACAAACAAACATTTGACCACCTAGGGATATTTTGTTAGTCTCAACAAGTTCAAATGCTATTTCTAGCGGGGTTAAGGTTAGAATTAGTGCTAGGGTTAGAATTAGATTTAGGGTTAGGAGCAAGGGTTCGTTTTAGAGTTAGCAGCTAGGGTTAGTTTTAGGGTTAAGGTTAGGTTTTCAGGTTAAGGTTAGGTTACGGGTTAGGGTTAGGTTTAGGGTTAGGGTTAGGGGTTAGGGAAAATAGGACTTTGAATGGGACTGAATTGTGTGTCCCCACAAGGTTAGTTGTACAAGACTGCATGTATGTGTGTGTGTGTGTGTGTTCACTTCTGTGTCTGTGTGTGTGCAAGCGCACATCCCCATACCTCCTCAATGTCATTGTCCAGGACGATGATGCCCAGGGGGGCAGTGAGGTTGGAGCTGGCAGAGATGGTGGTGCCCACTGGGGAGGACTCGCTGATGTAGCCCTGGTAGGACTGGAACTGGAAGTATGGAGCCTGGTTGTTCTCATCCAGGATATCAATGATCAGCTCAGCGTATGCTGGGAGTGGGTGGCCGTTGTCCTGCTCAGCCTAAAGGTACGAGACAAGTCTATATTTATTATGAACCTCTCTGTAACATGTACTGATATGCAACTTACAACATACAGCGCCTTCAGAAGTATTCATACCCCTTGACTTATTCCACATTTTGTTGTGGTACAGCCTGATATCAAACCTGATTACATGTATTTATTTTTGTCTTTATTTTATTTATTTTTTTGGACATGATTTAGAAACAAACAAACCTGTCTATATAAGGTTCCACTGTTGACAGTGCATGTCAAAGCAGACACCATATCATGATGTCCGTAGATCTCCGAGATAGAATTGTGATTAGGCATATATCTGGGGAAGGGTATAAAACAATTTCTAGAGTGTTGAAAAGTTTCCAAGAGCACAGTGGTCTCCATCATTGGGAAATAGAACAAATATGGAACTACCCAGCCTCTGTTTAGAGCTGGCCGTCTGACCAAACTGAGCAACTGGGCAAGAAGGACGTTGGTCAGGGAGGTGACCAAGAACCCATTGACCACTCTGACAGAACTACAGAGTTCCTTGGCTGAGATGGGAGCACCTGCCAGAAGGACAACAGTCGCTACAGCACTTCACCAATTTGGGCTTTATGGGAGAGTGGCCAGACAGAAGCACAGACTTGAATCCCATTGGAAATCTGTGGAAAGACTTGATATTTGCTGTTCACTGCCGCTCCCCATCTAACTTAACAGAGCTTGTGAAAATATGCAAGGACAAATGGGAGAAAATCCCCAAATCCAGTTGTACAAAGCTCTTACAGTCATACCCAAGACGACTCAAAGCTGTAATCACCTCCAAAGGTGCTCGTACCAAGTATTGACTCAAGGGTGTGAATACTTACGTACAATAAGTGAGATATTTCTGTTTTTTTATGTTTAATAATTTGAATACTTTCTGAAGGCACTGTAAATGGCACATACAATCATAAGGGATCATAGCTCATTGGCAACACACTACTCTTATATGACAGACTGATTATTTTCTGTAACACCTGCTGCAGATCAGTAAACAAAGAGAAACATGATTGCCACTGTTGGATTTTAACTTGAAATATACTTACTGTATTACTGACACTATATAAGAACATATTTATTAAGGGGAACACAAAATATGTGTGTGGAAAGTCACAGAGAGACGAGGGTTAGAGAGTTTCTGTCTGTTCAAACATGTTTTTTAAATGATGTGCAGCTTATAAAGGCTTCATAAAGCCTTCATAAACACTACATACATGTGTTACAAATCATCTATAACCATATGTCATGCTTTACAAACGGTTCATAAATGTGGCATAACTGCGTGACATAACCACCAATTTCAAATATGACATGACCCACTATGTCAAATATGACATAAACCTGTGCTTTAAAAAAGGGTGGGATAAGCACTGCTTATGAATCATAATAAATTGAGGCTTCACAAAGCATTTATAACCCTGTCATGCATCTTGGTAGAGCATTGCAAAGCCAGGATATTGGGTTCGATTCCCAGGACTACCCATACGTAAAAATTTATTCACGCATGATGTAAATCACTTTGAATAAAAGCCCTATTTGGTAAAAGACCACGTCCATATTATGGCAAAAACAGCTCAAATAAGCAAAGAGAAATGACAGTCCATAATTACTTTAAGACATGAAGGTCAGTCAATACAGAACATTTCAACAACTTTGAAAGTTTCTTCAAGTGCAGCAGCAAAAACCATCAAGCGCTATGATGAAACTGGCTCTCATGAGGATCGACAGAGGAATGGAAGACCCAGAATTACCTCTGCTGCACAAGATAAGTTAATTCGAGTTGCCCGCCTCAGAAATTGCAGCCCAAATAAATGCTTCACAGAGTTCAAGTAACAGACACATCTCAACATCAACTGTTCAGAGGAGACTGTGTGAATCAGGCCTTCAACGGTCAAATTGCTGAAAATAAAGCACACTAAAGGACACCAATTAGAAGAAGAGACTTGCTTGGGCCAAGAAACACGAGCAATGGACATTAGACTGGTGGAAATGTGTCCTTTGGTCTGGAGTCAAAATTTGAGATTTTTGTATCCAACCGCCGAGTCTTTGTGAGACGCGGTGTTGGTGAACGGATGATCTCCTCATGTGTATTTCCCACCGTAAAGCATGGAGGAGGAGGTGTTATGGTGTGAGGGTGCTTTGCTGGTGACACTGTCTGTGAATTATTTAGAATTCAAGGTACACTTAACCAGCATGGCTACCACAGCATTCTGCAGCGATACTCCATCCCATCTGGTTTGGGCTTAGTGGGACTATCATTTGTTTTTCAACAGGACAATGACCCAACACACCTCCAGGCTGTGTAAGGGCTATTTTACCAAGAAGGAGAGTGATGGAGTGCTGCATCAGATTGAGATGGCTTGGGATGAGTCGGACTGCAGAGTGAAGGAAAAGCAGCCAACAAGTGCTCAGCATATGTGGGAACTCCTTCAAGACTGTTGGAAAAGCATTCCAGGTGAAGCTCATGATCCACAGGTTACTGTAGGGTGTAAGATATATTTAAAAGGTTAATGGGACCTGCAAAGCATTTGTGTGTGTGTGTGTCAGAACCAAGATGATTTGGAGTAGTCCAACCTGAGACTACCGCACCAGGTATTCTTCTTATTTTCCCATACTGGAGACCAAGGCTTGATTACAACCTGTTACAATGGTGCCAACACTTTGTGGCTGATCTTTCAGCGGGGGAGTGGGTGAATGTTTCAAAGACCTGACTGGGCCCAGCACTGCATGGTATGTCTTGTTTATGTTGCATGCAATTTTGTGTATTGAAGAACATGTAACTTGGTTCCAGAAGAAAGACACTTTCAATTTCTTTACGTTGAGGGCTTTCATCAAGGTAAGTGTTTCTTGGTGTAATGTCGTCCTCAGGATACTTAACACATAACACATATAAGCCTGGGATATCAACCATTAAAAGTTGGCCTTAGTGGGAGTGACCATACAATTCTATAGGAGTGACCTTACTGAGTAAAGTATTTGTCATCGTCACTACTTAACACAGTCAAAAATTCATAATTATGGCTAAACCCTGCCCATTTCCACAATTTATCTTCTTAAAATTAAATTTTAAACCTAACCCTAGCTAATGAAGGCCAAGTTTTATGCGTTGGTCAACCAGACCTTCCGTGCATTTGGGCGGAAGTGTCTGGGAACGAGATTAGGTGTAATGTGACATCACTTTAGAGCGTATGCCATCCTTCATAAAGCATATGTTTATATCATATTCGACATAGTGTGTAATGTCACATTTGACATTGGTGATTATGTCACACAGTTATACCACAATTATGAACCCTTTATGAAGAAATGTAATGAGTTGACTCCGCCTAGTAGGAGGTCATAAATATATGTGCTTGTATAATCATACCTTGTCTTTGCAGCTGTATGACCCAATGGGATGAATAAACTTGGCCTGCGTTATTACTCTTTGTTCAGAACCTAACACCATATACTAAACCATTTAAAATAACTCAATGTCATAATTGTAATAACAGGGGCATCGTCTCCAAGAGACTCATTACAATTACATAAAGGCAGCATTGGAAATGTAATCATGCGTGCACTTTGGATTGGAGTCCAGTAATTGGTGAGACACAACACAAATGCTTGAATCTGGGACGGATGGACACTAATTAAAATGGCTAGCTACCAGTTCAGTTTCTGTTTTGAATGATACTGCAGACAAAAACATTTCTTTATTGTTTACACCAAGGGTGGTCGACCCTCTTCCTGTGTGTGCATTTGTTTGCTCCAGCCCTACTCTATCACACCTGATTAAAGCTAATCAAGGTCCCAATGAAAAGCTGATTGGTAGAATCAGGTGTGTTTGAGCTGGGCTGAAGCAAAGGCCTTCAACCCTAGTAGTTCTCTCAAATTAGCCTTCTCATGCTGCTCATAATGGAAACCAGTGCAACGAATAAGTGCATTCAAATCATGTTATTTTGTCATGTGGATCCTTGCTGTTAAACTTACAGTAGCTATTAAGCAGGCTAATTTGACAAGCATTCACAGCAATCAGACCATTTTTTAAAATGTCAGCATTCGTGTTTGCTTGAGGCAATCATCAGACTGTGTGCACTGAGTAGTTAGGGGGGAACCAATGCCCCAGAGGCACTTCAACACTCTATAGACATTTCTGACAAAGACCAGGGTGAGTATTTTTGGGGGGACATAAATAACCTTCTGCATTTAACGCAGCAGATAAGAGATCATCACTGTACTGTGTACACACATTTTGACTCAACCTTTTCCAAACCATGTTGGTGTCTTGTGTAATGGACATTGTATATTATGATACTGTAAGCAATCTGCGTGACACAAACACATGGGCATACATGTTACGTCCATTGTTTTAGCATTTATTACAACACAGTTGGTGGGAGACATGACTACAGCAACAGGCCACATTTGCACACATCAATGTGCATGTCCCCTCAGCTAGTCAACCATTCAACCTCTCACAGCAACGCACCATGTGTTTCACTGACAGTTACACTGTAACCTAACACACATGTAATAATAATAATAATAATAATAATAATAATAATATAATATTTAGCAGACGCTTTTATCCAAAGCGACTTACAGTCATGCGTGCATACATTTTTGTGTATGGGTGGTCCTGGGGATCGAACCCACTACATTGGCGTTACAAGCACCGTGCTCTACCAGCTGAGCTACAGAGGACCACATGTGAAACTATATCCTAGCATGGATGAGGAGCCACCAATTGAGTGCAGTCAGACCACCATAATTTCTCATAAACATATAGTTCCCACACTAATATATTGGGTGTTTCTCAAAATCATACTGCTGTGCTCCGAGCACCCAAATTGGAACACGGGAGAGTCAGAGTATGCGTCCATATAATTATTTTTACATTTTAATCATTTAGCAGACGCTCTTATCCAGAGCAATTAGGGTTAAGTGCCTTGCTCAAGGGCACATCGACAGATTTTTCACCTAGTCGGCTCGGGGATTAGA